TTTATACGTGTGCATGCAAACCAGATTTCTTGGTAGAGGGATCTAAATACAGCACAAACAACATTTTCCAAAAGACCAATTGAGTGAAAAAGTATATTTTAACAAAATAATTTTTGCACCTCATGTTTGCGGTATACCATCTTTTCCGCAAGTTTATTGTTTTCTGTTTGGTAATAATTTAATAAGATCTGTTTTGTTACATCTTGTGATCCGTTTATTTGGCAATCGCCAACGGCAGTCAGCAGGGTTTAAGAACATCAGTTGTTCGACCTGCTAGTCAAATGCGTTTTGTTAGAATATACTTTTTCACTCAATTGGTCTTTTGGAAAATGTTGTTTGTGCTGTATTTAGACCCCTCTACCAAGAAATTTGGTTTGCCTGCACACGTATAAAAATTGCGGTTTTTATCCAACGCAATCATAGGTTTGAACGATGTTTTCAATTTAGACTTGTTTATATTTTTTCGTTTGGGCTTGTATTATATTTGCCTTCGGGTTTATATGATCCGTTCATCCTATTTTGACTCTTTCAAAATCCTAAATTATATGGCCTTCCAAATACTTTTCGATTCCTAACATCACTGAAGAGACATTAATTGTCGAAATCCGGATATGGTGTACAAATTTTTGCACCTCATGTTTGCGGTATACCATCTTTTCCGCAAGTTTATTGTTTTCTGTTTGGTAATAATTTAATAAGATCTGTTTTGTTACATCTTGTGATCCGTTTATTTGGCAATCGCCAATGGCAATCAGCAGGGTTTAAGAACATCAGTTGTTCGACCTGCTAGTCAAATGCGTTTTGTTAAAATATACTTTTTCACTCAATTGGTCTTTTGGAAAATATATATATATATATATATATAAGTCTGAAAATTACACCCAACAGTGTTAGAATTAGACTTTTATGCTGACAAATTTTTGTCCCTCAAGGGGATTCGAACTCACACCTTTGATACACTACAGCACCAATCGCTTAGCCTCATGTCCAGCGCTCTAGACCACACGACCACATCCGCTATATAAAAATATAACTTCAATAGTCGTAGTGTTACCTTGTCACGTAAGGCGAATCTAGAGATAGACATAAGACATGTGTTTTAAGCGTGTGAAGATGTTATATTATTATTTAATACACAATGTATTTGTTATTTGTCAGCAATCTAACTCAACAATTTTTATATACCGTATGGGATAATGATTCAATTCATTATATATATATATATGTCTCTGATTAGACTGCCAAGTTTTACTGGGTTTCAATAAGATATAATTACTTTAGAAAGTAATGATAAGTTTGATTAAATACTAATTGATAAATATATCAGATTACTTATAAATATGCATGATAACATTTTTTCTGTAAATTAAGTATTTTATGTAATTATGAATTAACTGTTTACAAAATTTTTTCGAAATACTAAGGATTTTCTACCCCAGAAATAGCTTACCTTAGCTGTATTTGGCAAAATCTTTCGAAATTTTGGGTCTGCAATTCTTTTCAACTTCGTACTTTATTTGGCCTTTTTAACTTTTTTGATACGAGCGTCACTGACAGTCTGTCGTACACAATTTTACTCCTGGTATCTATGGTGAGTTTATTGATAATGCAGGGTCAGAGTACATATTCGTTTGTCAAAAATAACCCAAATCGTTGACTGGGAATAGAAATATGGTCATCCCTGAACTAGCTTCTTTCGTTCCAACAGTAAATCGCTTGCTAAAGTGCGAAAACCGTTTGGCAGTGCGGGATGTATAAATACGTTAGATCGGAAAGGGGGATTTAAATCAGATGTCTCGTGTAGGGATCTGGCCACCATCTGGTGCTTAAAAAAAACCCTTGCAACTACTCTCTGGGGATCCTTAGGTGACCTATTTCAAGGCAAAATGTCTACCCCTATCCAAAATATACCCTCTTTTCCCAGTGATAGTCTACATTTCTCGCCTATTTTCAGAACATACTTGTATTAATTTTTAATGTGTTCCTGTCCTGAATATCCATGAAATTCGTTAAGTTAGCAACTATTAATCAGCCACTTTGTCAAAAATAATTGGTGTAGGAATCGAGTACAGATTATCGTGTTCATTGATTAAAAGAGGTATCAGCATAGTGATAATATCTGCAGTACCTTATAAACGAAATACGATAGATAGACTGATAGATAGATTTATTTAATCAAATATCAACATAAATTATTGCATATGAAAATAATATAAAACAATAGCACATACTAAAATAATAAAATCTTAAAATAAGTGTTGATAATTAATTTGGATTCCCCATAAGAGACCATACTTGAAAAGCCTCACGGCTTATTTCCAATGGAGTCCATTCACGTAACATTCTTAAAAATATTAAGAAATCATAATTTTGACAGGAAATACTAACAGTAGATTGAAAAGAATTCAAAATTTTTGTTGCGCTTTTAACCTTTTGGCAATAATTTCCAATCTTGTATATTATAATGATACAATGTTAAAGTATTTGCCTTTTAATGTTGCAGTTAGTATCATTCTATATATTAAAATCGATATATGTCGAAACAACGCAACAAACAATTTTCTAGTATATCGATATATGTCGAAACAACGCAACAAACAATTTTCTAGTATATCGATATATCGTAATATAAGAAACTTATAGCGGTATTGTTCTCGAAATATTGAGATACATATAATTGATAAATTGATTGTCCTTTTTAATCGATTTAGGTAAATTCGATTATAATTTGTATCGACATAAATATATCGACATCTACTTCAAGTCAACATTTTTTATATCGCATTGTTTTGATATAACACAATATTTCGCAATATTTTTCATAATTTATTGCGGTATCGCCACACAAGTCGACATAAAATATATCGATAAGTATGATATAACGCAACAAGTCAATAGCAACAACAACAAAAAAAGATACCTATACGCTTCCGTATGGTCTCTAATTCTTAGTTTTGTATTAATTTTTTATATGTAAAGTTTGTTGTTCCTAAATAGTCTTCAAAAATTAAGTTTTGTTTAAGTAGAAATAAGAAGATGTGGTATGAGTGCCGATGAGACAACTCTCCATCCAAGTCACAATGTGTAAAAAGTAAAAATTATAGGTCAAAGTACGGCCTTCAACACGGAGCCTTGGCTCACACCGAACAGCAAGCTATAAAGGGCCCCCAAAATGACTAGTGTAAAACCATTCAAACAGGAAAACCAACTGTCTAATCTATATAAAAACGAGAAACGAGAAACACTTATGAACCACATCAACAAACGACAACCACTGAACAGGTTCCTGACTTAGGACAGTGCAAACAAATGCAGCGGGTTTAAACGTTTTAACAGGCGCCAACCTTCACCCTAACCTGAAATAGTGCAACATTACAACATAGAAAGACAAACTATAAAATATCAATTGAAATGCCGCTTAACTCAATCAAAAAAGACATATTAACAAAAACAAGTAAACATACACTGAACAAATAAATTTGATCTATGACACAATGTCAAAAAGACAACTATAACCTTGGACAAAATGGCGTTAAATGAAATAACGTACACAGGTAAATTCAATAATTTTGTTGTTAGGAGTACGAAGATATTTTTTACAAAATAAATGAATTTGTTGTTCATAGTACGAGTACAGCAGTGAAAATTTATCGTCATACTAAATACTTATCAAAGGTGGTACATATTAAAAATAGTGAGACGGGATATAACACTGAATAAGTAAACATTGAAAAACAAAAATGCAATAACAAATTATGTAACAGGTCAAATTAACACGAAAGTGCGATTTGAGAGTACTCGCAGTTACTGAAAGCTAGTTTAAAGCCAAAAACAATAAATAACAAAAAATCATGCATCAGAGACTAAAATCAACTAAAACACATTCCAGGGATCTAGTGTTTTTACGCCATGGACAGTCAAAGAAGAAAGTTCTTGTATAAATAAAGGTTACTTTTTTCATCATATTTTGCATTTTGTAATGAATCAAATTTTCAAAGTAGTTTTTAGAACTTGTTTTTGTATAACCTTTAAATCAATTATTTATTTTTAGGTCTGAACTAGTCATAATTTTGTAAGATTTGTGTAATATCTTAATTAAGTTCACAACGGAATATTTTTTACATAGGTAAACCTTATGATGATTACTTAAAAAACGGACGCACACATAATATTGTCTTAGACACAATTATTCTATAAGAACTATTGTACAAAATAAATGTATTCAGTTGCATGTACCAATCCCATGTTAACCATCGATGATGTAACAAAACTAGTGACAGTTTTCAAAAGGTAGATAACTCTGAATAATTACGTCCGTCATATTGTTATTCACAAGGAACATGCATATGCACACAATTCTTAAAATTCATCCCATCCGCGTGCATTATAGGTACTTAGATGACCCAGGTACCTGTTCGTTATTATGATATTCATGATTTTTTACTGATATATATTTATCAAGACACATTTTGTTGTTGATTACAAATAAATGTTCTTAAAAAATATTTTCATGCAATTTCATTGATAATATTATTTATAATTATATATAAAGCGATAAAGAATTCCATTTTGCACTCGATAACGACAGTGTATTTACATGTATACGCAGTAATGCGTGTTTAAACGCACACACAGAAAATGCAATAGCATTACTTCGGATTCCCTCACGGTAATCCGAGTAAAAATGTTAAGAAGAAGTGCCATTGCCAATGAGACAATTATCCAGCAGAGTCCAAGTGACGTAGATGCACGGCAACTTTAATAGGTCACCATACGGCCTTCATCAATGAGCAAAACCCATACCGTATAGTTAGCTATTTTATGGAGATGATCAACAATATTTTTTATACCAACTTGCCTTCTGACAGTTGACATGGATCTACCGATTCTATCACTACCAGATACTGTTACAGTACTGTGAATGGATAAATATCAACATTAGTTTTTTTCATTTATATTTAAAATATAATCAGGTATTAACTGTGTTAAATACTTTGTGTAATCTAAATTATTTATTGACACAGGAAAATGTGTCAACAGGTGGCAAATAGACATAATCATTCATTAACCTTATGTAACAATTTGTAAGAGGTCAAAAGTAATAACATATCGACAAGTCAAAACATGAAAATGACCCGTGGATAAACGACTTTGTCATGAGGTCAAAATTACATCGTAAACAAAATGGACAGTCAGGTAAGAAATTATTTAGAATGTAAACATATTTTAGCATTTGCAGCTATATCGTTTTGATTCATCCATTGGAAAATATTTTATTTGACACTACATTTTACGAAAGAGCACATCGACGTTCATTAGTAAAAAAAATGCCGTTAAAATTTAATCCAAAACCATTGAGAATTATAAGATATTTTAAAATAAAAAATCGCAGAACGGACATAAAATATTCTTATGTAAGAAGGATATCTTAATCGCATATTTTTTAAAACCTTAAATTGACGAAACCATACGATACTATTTGTGTGCATTTGTCGCGAATATAAATTTAAATCAGTTTCTATCATGCACTTTGCAAGATATTAGTAATTAACAACAAAGTACTTTCTATTTGGGACAAATATGCATTCATCTACATCGTTTATACAATATTTATTTGAAAGAAATATGACTATCCGCTAACATGATTTTGAACAATTTGTTCATTTTAATACCTATTGCTGTTAAATACGTAATGAAATGATCTTATCGATAAGCTATTTAATAGGTATGTTTTACCAAATAAAATTATATAATGTTAATTTGTCACTGTTCTGATAATTAGTTAACTTTATTGTATTTTATATTAAATCAAACTTATAAGAAATTATACATAGATATTGTACGAACGAACATTTTTAAAGTTGTTTATCGATAACCTTTTGGTAATGTAAATTTTTAATAACATGCTTAAAGTTTGGTTTCTTCTCTTATATTTTTCAAAGTTATGAACATTTTCCCTGGCCTGAATTTATTTCAATCATCGGATCAAAATTAAAAACTTAAAACCTAGTGGAATTAAATATACAATGTTTTCAGCAGATCTTTTGACATAAATCTTACGAGGAAAATTGGTAGTAAGTCGGAAAGATTTATAATTCACTTCTTGATTATTATATAAGATTGCCGAATGTTTATCGTAATATGTTGTGTTGTTGAAAAGGCAACATGATATATTATATAATATATAAAAGATTTGGGAAAAATCGATATGTCAACATTCATTTCCATAAAAGACAAAGTTTATAAAATGTTGCAATTTTGACATATTTTTATAGCATATGAAACGAAGGTCACCCTTCACCAAAATGAAAGAATGTGTACATGTATGTGAAAAAAATTCATACCCTTACATCTTTTAGAATTTAGGATTTGGTAAAAATTTCCTCTCATTTCTTCTCATTTATATTTTGGAGAGACCTGAACTTGACATAATTGTAATGGTATAACACGACCGGGAAAAACTCTAGAAACTGCCCGAATTCTTTCAAAATTGCAGTTTTGAACCATTTGATACATTTATAACTAGCTCTACAAGGTTCAGACTTAAGAAGGTAATGTTGTAACAAACTCAGAGTATATGTTATACAGTTAGTATTAGTGAAGAAAATAGAAAGTTTTGAAATTTTCCCTTGTTCAAAATAAATCCAGGGGAAATCGGTATCAAGTTAAACCTAGTAGCCATTTTCCGGTTGTTCGACTGATTATTTAAGATTAATATACTTTTATACGTGATTAACTTGAAGTGACATTGACCATCATCCCGAAGTAATATCCTTATTTGAAATAAAAATGAAAAAAATAAACTGAAGAAACTCAAATTTGACTCGTTTATAATTTCAATTTATTTAGATCATGGATGTATCTCAAGTGACAATAACAAAGATGCAGAAGTTAGTAAGAGCAGAAATGTTTGGAAGAAGACAGCTGACTGTGCTCAATATCAAACTGAATGAAATAAACAAAAGGCTTAAAATTTGCAAAGACAGAGGAGTTAATTCACATCTGTACGTATTAAAACAACGGCGGAAAGTGACAGAAAACGTGAGAAATATGTATGGTATCTATGTCAGGAGGAAAATGACGGCAGTCGCTAGAATGATTATAACTAACTTTTCAAATTCAGTGTTTGAATCCAGCAATTCCAGTTCAGATTCACAAAATAATGACGAAACAGAAAATTTAAATTCCCCTCGAAGCGATGACGTCGATGTAAACACTTCCGTGGACAGCAACATATCGACTGATTCTTCATCGAATGACACTGAATCAGCGCAGCAAGACATTTCTGTGAATGTTAACAGCGAGCAGACAGGGCAGCAACAATATTCTGATGATACTGAGGCTTCGAATCAGAACATATTGACTTCCAGTGAATAATTCCATCAGTGTTACTTTTATTTTTTTTTTTAAATATTTCATGCTCTAACATCGAACCCAAATGCAACTGAAAACACTGGGTCTCTTTATATCTGTTTTTATAATTTTTTTCATTACTTACATTATTTTTTTGAAACTTTTTTGGCTTTATATTCAAACGAAAAAGGAATTCCGGTGACAAGAACTGTATCCCTTTCATTTCAAATTTTACTTTCCGAGTTTACGGTCTCTCCCCGTGATCGGCTCTCCCACTCGCGAGGTTAATATGGAGATCAGAGAGCAGCGAAATATAACGATTGAATTATTTAGGTTATCTGCGGGGACGTTATTGATTATATCAGAGACCTATTAATCAGTTATATTTCTTGGATTATGAGTGAAAGCCAAACTACGGCAAAGATTTTAGGGTCCGTTATATATCTAACGAGACATATAAAAGTCTTGATATATATTTCAAATGAAACAGTTAAACAAAATAATTGTAAAAGCATTATAATTGTGGTTGTTTTCGTTACTAGCGTGTTTACCGAAATAAACCAATGACTTCCTTCCTTTAATTAGTCATAAGAGGAATAATAATTTGAGTAACAGGAAATTCTACAAATTGTCTTTTGTTCGTACCCTTTTAAAGAATATACCTTTTATATTTTTGTTGTTATACCTGTGTTATCTGTATAATATTTATAGAACTGATTAAATTTATCAAACGTACTACTTGTTAACTTCTGATTTCTTCTGGTTCGAACATAATTTTTTTTAACTGCAATAATGCATGCCCTTCTCGTAATCGATCCAGTTTCTCACTTAGCAGAGTTACACACAGAGAAGCGAAATATAACGACTAAATTGATGTTATGGCCACGCGTTTCAAGTAATTAAAATGTGAAATAAGAAAAAAAACCTACCAACAGATCATGTATCTTTAGTGATTTTTTTTTTAGTCCTGACGAATAAACCATATAGCAGAAATTGCAGTGATGAGCTCTACTTGTTTAGATTTGTTTACATTTTGTTGTCGGGTTGTCACTAGATAATGAATTATGACAAGGAACCTGGATTTAATACTTATTGTGTTCATTTATAGCAGTGTTTGGAAAATTACTACCCGCATAGTGGCTTTCTATTTGAAACATTTAGAGTTATCTCTCTTTGATAATTGAACTGCTTTAACACAGTATTTCCATATGATATGAGTATGTGTTTGAATCGAGTATTTTTTATCCAGCAAGTCAGACATTTGTCAACAATGATTTTTATACAAATCCTTGATGTCACCAGTCAGGATTTTTATGATAGGACATCATACTGAATCAAAGACATATACTCATACCATAAAAAAGGGGCGGAAGATACCAAAATGGACATTCAAAACACACAAGTCGTAGAGAAACTGACCACTTCATGATAAAACGAGAAAGACGACAAAGAGACAACCAAGTCTACAAAACACTACATGGAAAACTGCTGTGTAAAATAACATACATTTGTAGATATACACATACCATAGAAGATTTATTTAAAGTTAATTACACTCTCCTAATCACAAAACACTGTTATTTGCCCTTTTCAATAGTTTTTTTTTCAATTGAAGTAGATTTTCACAATATTAATTAAATACTTTTTCATATGTAGATATGCAGTAATCATTTTTTTACAATATTACTCTTTATACTTAGAAGTAACCAAGAAAGATATCCTTTTCGAACAGTTGATAAGAAATTATGATACTTAGTTTTGTTTATCAACATTCAATGCTTGTTAAAGTCAGTTCACGCTACATGTATTGATATCAAGGTTGATTTCCATCACGTTTTCAAATGCAAACGGAGACAAACCAACACCTTCAAAAATTATGAACAGTTAACTTTATTGTTGAATGAAAATGCTTTATTTAAATAACAAAATTGTATCTACAAGGTCGCATGTATGATGTTGCCTGTCCTAATTTGACTCGGCATTATTTTTCCGTGTCCTTGGTATCTTATTAGATCTTTACACAAACTACACATAACTTACAAAGGACACGTGCGTTCCATATCAAATCTCACACAGAAAACTGCCCTTGCCTTGAATTTACCATGTCATAGGATTGTAAATAAGGCAAAAGAAGGTTAACTCGAACAAACCTAATATGAATCTGTATATACTTATTACAGAATAAAAATTAACTTGATACTGATCATCATGCAATACATGTACAATTCTTAATATATAAACTATTTAAGAATAAAGAATACCTCAATATCGCATTTGAATGAATTTCATCGATTGGAATAGATAGATTTTTAGCATTATAGAACGGAAAACCTAAATACTTTTGAAAGGAATAGATATATAGAATACATAAATATTTTTTTAAAGCGATAATGATCAGAATGGTACTAGTGAAAGAAAGATAACTCAATCATTATTCAGTTAGTTTCGGTATATATTTGTTTGACATTGATATTCATAGGAAGATCAACATGAAAGCTAAGTATTGTCGTCAAATGTATAGCCACATGTTAGCTCTATTGTGGGGATTTCAGACTAGACTTAAATGGAAGTTTAAACAACAATTAATAGATTGCAGCGAAACTGTTTATAAATAAACACAAAAGTTAAGCTATGACGTTTTATGCATACATCGCATGAAGTACACGAGTCTTTTCTTTGTCTTTGCCTTTGTTTCCTGCTGTTATATAAGCCTTGGCGAACTTTGGTCACATGTTTTCATATTATTTCCTATGATAAATTGCATATACCAATTATGTATAAATTTGGTAGCATAGACTTTCCTCGCCACGGCCGACATCAGGACCATTGTAACTGAAAAGTTGACCGATTAGCTGGTTGGTATGTATAAATATACAGCCATGTCGAAACGGAACAGAGCCGTTTAATCCAATGCATACGTTTGGAGAATGCATCAGACCATGGTTTTCTAAATATGTAGGCGTTGTGCATCCCTTGTCGTAAATCAGCACGTTGCTGTTGTAGACATATCTTTTACAGTTCTCACATACATCCTTTTCAAATAGAATCCCATGATTTACTGGGGTATAGAAAAGTTGTATCCTGGACTTCTCCCACCCGATAGTAAAATCCGTTCTAAATAGAGACGTCCATTTTAATGCGAGTTAATAAAAAAAGGCCGCCCGTTCGGAATTGGGACGTTAAATCTGATACCCTGTAAAGTGAGAGAGCCACATTCTCTGTACATTAAAAATCATTCGAAACAACTCTCTAGTGGGTATGTAAACGGCCTGTTGCAAGTAAAAACATCTGCCTATGTAACTGTTAAACACATCCTCTTCCACCCATGACAGTCAACATGTGCCACCCTTCGCCCCTTTCGACCATGCACTTTGCTCAGCCTACCAATTGGATAAATGGTGTTTTTTTATCGTCTCGAATATGCATAGAACATTTGCCATTTTCACAAGACGCGTTGTGTTTAATGTTTTTTTTTTCGTAAGAATTGCTATAAAAAATTGTAAAAGGAGTGACCATCATTGTTCAGTGGTGTCCTACCTTTTATACCATACGGTCGCTTTGGTACACACATATGGCCAAGATGAGTTAAGTTTGCTTACGCCAAGAATTTATGACATATTTGTCACAGAAGTACTTTGAACTTGAAACATACAACAAGAGGCTCATGAGAGCCTGATATCGCTCACCTGTTATTTCAGTTTCAGGCATTTGACTTACTTGTAGATCTTACTTTGCTGAACAATTTTGTCACTTACACTTTCTCTCTTTCTATAATAATATTAAAGATAACACATAACCCAAAACTGTAAAATTTCCTAAAAATTAATTATTTCTGGACAGTAACCCAACAATAAGTTGTCCTATTGGTCTGAAGATTACTTGCCAGGTAGATCTAAACCTGTTTAACACTTTCTCTTATGTCAGTTTTGCTCTTACTGCTTTAGTTTTTGAGATGAAAGCCAAAAACTTCATTTGACCCCTATGTTCTATTTTTTAGAAACTGCCGCCATGTTTTTGAATGGATCAATCCACGAATACAATCTATAAACTAGATACCCTAAGGAACATTCAATTAAAGATTTTAAGTATTTGACCAAGTTGTTTCAGAAAAGAAGATTTTTGAAAAAGTAATTAAACTTTCACAAAAAATGAAAAAAAAAAGTTTTAAGGGCAATAACTTCTCAAGGGGTCAATTGACTATTTTAATCATGTTGACTTATTTGTAGAGCTTACTTAGCTGAACATTTATTGCCATTTATACTTTCTCTCTATCTATTATAATATTAAAGAAAATAACCAAAAACAGTAAAATTTAATAAAAATAAACTATTTTTTATATAGATTTGACCGTTGGTTTTCCCGTTTGAATGTTTTTACACTAGTAATTTTTGGGGCCCTTTATAGCTTGCTGTTCGGTGTGAGCCAAGGCTCCGTGTTGAAGACCGTACTTTGACTAATAATGGTTTACTTTTATAAATTTTGACTTGGATGGAGAGTTGTCTCATTGGAACTCATACCACATCTTCTTATATCTATTTCCAACAATTACCCAACAATGGGTTGTCAAACTTTTCTGAAAATTTCATAACAGATAGATTATGACCATTTATTACTTTAACTCCCTTTCACTTTTGCTCTATCTGTTATAGTTTTTGAGATATAAGCAAAAAACTACTTTTGTCCCCTATGTTCTATTTTTAGCCATGGCGGCCGTGTTTGTTTATGGATCAAAACTTTGGATACAATTTATAAACTTAATACCCTAAGGAACATTCAGTTAAAGTTTGGAAGTATTTGACCCAGTAGTTTCAGAGAAGAAGATTTTTGAAAAAGTAATAGACGCACGAAAAAAAGTAAAAAATAAACGTTTCAAGGGCAATAACTCCTTAAGGAGTCAATTGACTATTTTGATCATTTGACTAATTGTAGATCTTACTTAGCTGAACATTTTTGCTGTTTACACTTTCTCTCTACTTATTATAATATTAAAGATAATAACCAAAAACAGTAAAATTTCATAAAAATAAACTATTTCGGACATTAACCCTACAATGGGTAGTCCAATTGGTCTGAAAATTTCATAGCAGATAGATCTCGACTTATTCATCACTTTAACTCCATATTACTTTTGCTCTAACTGCTATAGTTTTTGAGATAAAGCCAAAAACTGCATTTGACTACTATGTTCTATTTTTAGCCATGGCGGCCATGTTTGTCAATGGATCAAAACTTCGGATATATTTTATAAACCAGTTACCCTAAGGAACATTCAGTTAAAGTTTAGAAGTATTAGGCCCAGTAGTTTCAGAGGAGAAGATTTTTAAATATTAGCAAACATGATGAGCAAATTGTGTAAATTTGTCTTTAAAGGGCAATAACTCCTTAAAGGGTCAATTGACAATTTTGGTCATATTAACTTTTTTGTAGATCTTACTTTGCTGAACATTTTTGCTGTTTACAGTTTATCTTTATCTTCAATAATATTCAAGATAATAGCCAAAAACTGCAAAATTTCCTTAAAATTACCAATTAAGTGGCAGCAACCCAACAATGGGTTGTTCGGTTCGGGCTGATAGATCTTGACCTATTGAAAATTTTTACCCCTTGTCAGATTTGCTCTAAATGCTTTAGTTTTTGAGATATAAGCCAAAAACGGCATTTGACCCCTTTTTTCTATTTTTAGCCATGACGTCCATATGCATGTTTGTTGATGTATCAAAACTTCGGATACAATT